TCTCTTCTTCTCTCTCTCTCTCTCTCTCTCTCTCTCTCTCTCTCTCTCTCTCTCTCTCTCTGCTCCCTCTTCCTTTTGGTGTTTCGTTCTTTCTCGTTTTTGGCCTCTCCGTATCTGGTCTTCGTTCTAACTTATATTATATATCACGGTAGAAAAGAGTGCGTTTCACGACTCTGTTGCTATCCGAAAAAAAAGTGACAATGAAATTTCCGTTTTCCGGTCGAAAAGACCAACAATATTTAATTTCGTGACTTTTATCTATTTCAAATATGGAACTTGTTACACTCGCGCGTGCTAAAACGTATTAAACGTATTTTTCTACATTTCTGAATTTTCTAATTTTCTTTGCGACGAGTTTATAGCCTTCGTGCATTCCACGACGGATGCGTTGAACTTCGATTGGAACGTAATAAAAATTTAGTATCCTAACGGTTCTTCTCTAGAGGTACTAAACTCGAGCGTTTAGAGAAGAAAATATAATCTTACGATTGCGTTATTATTCTTTCTGTGTTTCTATTATAAGCGTAGCACCGTCCAGACGAAACTTCCGTTTCGTTAATCGATTGGGGAAAGTATTACGCGTTGTCCGCCTAACCTTGCTGCTGAATTCGCGATTATTTTTCTTCTTTCTGTTTCTTCAGCTGTTATGCATTTCCGAAATATATGCGATTTGAATTCATTCGTATATTAATCTTCTTTCGAATTACTATCGTTAAGTAGGAAATTCTGTCAGCCAATATTTTAAGCAACAGTTTATCGTAAAGAAAGCAAGTTTATTTTTCCTCGCGAATCTTGAATCCGGTTGTTTTAGCAACTCGTTGCGTTTATCTCTCTTGTATATTTCTTCATGCTTGCTTTTCATTAGGTCGCCAGTGTATTTCACTCGGCTACGATCCCTGCTTGTTAAATTACACCTGGCATCCGCGCATAACAATGTTTTTTTCGTTTGGTTTAATCGCTCGCCTAGAGATAGTTACGTTTAACTTCGATAACGATTATCTAGTTACTGAGAAACCTAACGTGAACGTGCTTTTTTCCTTTTTCATTTTTTTTTTCCGATATATCGAGCCATTCAGAAGTCAAATCGATTAATTTTATTTTTTACAAATTTTATAGATTTTTAGATTACAAGAGTACTTGATTTCGCGCTCGATCGATTTTCAACCAAAATGATTATAAAAGATTAAAATATAAAAATGTTATTTTTTTTTTTCATTTATCGTATAAGCTTTATCAAATATATCGTTTGAACGCGAGGATGTGTGGTTCGAGCGAGAAAGATGGTCGATCGTTAAATACTTTCACCGTGAAATAAATTTGTCATCGGTTTCGTCTTATCAACGAAACATGAAAACTAGTCGAACGAGTCGCTTCGAACGAATTTCTCGTTGAAAGTTTGTGCTCGCTCATGTGATTCGAGATACGCGTTCGTGTCTCCCTTTGTTTTAGCCCTTCTTCGACGATACCCCCGTTATCGCTCCGTGCACTCCCTTCGTCCTTTCTTTCTTCCATTTCTTTCTTTCCAAACGATTAATCGCAAACGATCGTGGACAAATTTAACTCTCCCGAGAATGATGACGAGGTTCGTCCTCATCTCCGTGCTTTTCTTTTTTTCACATCGACACCGGTTCATCATATCAACATTATTATCGATCGATGTCTGTCCACGGACCACGTGATCACTGACCGAGTAAAAGGTTGGAGCACGTTCGCTTCTCCTCTCGTCGAGATTATAAAGGGAGAACAAAGTAATAGTTTCGGTAGACGAAACACGAAGCGACGTGCTCACTCGTAATCGTGTCTATAACGGAGGGAACGGTTTGCACAAGCGTCACGTATCGAGAACAACGAATCGAGGCAAACGCGATACAAAACGAACACGCGCGTCTCTCGAGTGCAACGCACGCCCGTAATTTACGAGGCACTCGAGGACCGCCGCATCCTTTCGACTCGTAGTCCCGGGTGGTTCACGCCGCTAAGTACGGGGGCCATCTACGGTCCTTCTGGTAATATTTTCATGGCCGAGGGGAGAGGCGACTCCCGCTGCGGCCAAGCCCAACTGGGTGGATGAGGCTGTTTTTCGTGTTGTAATCGGCGGTGGCTGGCCTGGCATCTCGTACGGTTCACGGGCCGTCCCGTCTTCCATACCAGCCTTATCGCGCCTCCAATGCGTTCGGATAATCGGCCGAATTCGGTTCGACGCTCGTTAATCTTCGGTCGCAGATAGCCGACCGACCGACTTCGCCAACCAAATCGCTGCCCTCTTCTTCTCCTGTTTTCGTGTCCCTCCCTCCCCCTCCCCCCTCCGTTTTTCGATCGAAAAACTTCGCGTATTTTTAACCTTCCCATTTTTAACGTTCGAATCGACGACAACCGATGATGGAATCGGTTGACTTTCGTTCGATGATCCGCGATATCCATTAATATTATTAGAAGCGAAGAAACGGAGCAGTGGAGGAGGGGAAGAAAGGCTGGTTCGAAACGCACGTAAGTATTTAATCAGGCCGGTTGGAAAAACGTTTGGAAACGCGTTCCTCGGTTTATTTTTTTCTCGGTCGGCCGAGGCTGGGAAGGCTCGAAACGAAGCGAGAGGAGAAAAGAAGCAGCGGGGGCGATCGGTCGCGACGCGAATCGCGTGGCCATGGCCGTGGCCGTGAAAGTGAAATTCGTGAATGAAACGAGTGGAACAGCCGGCAAACCGAAGTGAAGGTAAAGGTTGGCCGGTTTCGGTTTCGGCGGCCGTCTTCTCTTTCGCCCGCTCCTCCTCCCTGTATTTCTCTCCTTCGCCTTTTCGCGCCTTCCCTCGATTCTCTTTCCAACCGTATCTCCCAAGGTCGGATACGTTATTCACGCGCGCGTTATTCCACGATCGCTGCTGGTATCGGGAGCGGTTTTTCACGAGGATGACACGGTTCGGCCGGTGGAGTGGGGGGAGAGGAGTGGATCGGCGAGGCACGTGGGCGGCTGAAAAGCGGCGCATTGTGGCGCGGCGTAAAATGCGCCGGTTAACGAGGAGGTGGACGGAGGCGGCGGGCGAGGGGGGAGGGTGAGCAAAAACGCAACTGTGCATGTCGCAACCGCGAGTTTAGAAAGCTTCGAATCGAATAGACGAGCTATCCTTCGGCCTCGAGCGCGCGGCGTTCACCGTTTACCCAATCGAACGAACGATCGTCGCGAGCATTTACAATGCTCCTCTTGTAAAAATTAGCAGCGGGAGCGTGGGTGGGTTAGAATCGACCCCGTTTCCTTCTCCCTCGGCCAATTCCAATTTCTCTGTCTATAGATTTT